GGGAAAAAAAAAAAGTTGCTTCCTTTCTTCCTATTTGTCCAGCTAGAAACAGCTGATTGTGATTTCAGCCACACAGAAAGATAAAGGCAATGCCTTCACCTTTCAGTAGCAGAATAATGGCAAAAAAGAACCTGGTAAGTCTTAGGAAAACATATTCTTTCTTGTTTAGGACAGCCAATTTTTTGTTGGAATGTTGGAATACTTCCTGAAAAAGAAAGAGTAAACTCATTTTTACCTAAATGCAAAGAATTTCACCTTACAGTTAGTGATACTTAATCCTGTGATCAACTCCCAGATGCTGTGTCTGAGGTGATTTTCAGTAATTTCCTTAAATTTTATTTGGTTCTCAGTAGATAAGAATAAAAATATCCTGGCTTTTGCTCTTCCTGTCCCTCTAATTGGCAGAATTTCAACCCAAGGCTTTAGATGTCTGACTTTCATTTTTTCGTGTGTGTGCCAGGAGTAGTTTTTGGCATCTGGCACTTTAATAATAATATTTCCAGTGACCAGGCATTGGATAGAATCAAAGAATTGGCACTGTATTTTGTAATTTTCGCAGAAGCATTTGATTTGATTGACTCTAGAATGCTGATTAGAGGAGATAATGCTATGATGCTCTTGAGGATAAGTCACTTAGCTCAGATTCATGACTGTTTAACAAGAAGAGCACACAGATTTGTTGTACAGGGCAAGGAATCTGGCTTGGCTGAAATGGACTGTGATGTCCGCCAAGACTCAGTCTTCAGACCATGTTTATTGAATTTATTTGTCAATGATTTATTCTTGATTGTATTAAATCTATTTTACAGCTATATAGATGATGCAATGTTACAATATGGTTCTAATTCATTGGCCATGGTAGAGAAGGATTCACATAATTTATGGAGTAAACTTTAAAAGGAAAGCCTTTTCTAATGAACAAGAGAACTGCTAGCTATTAATATTTCCAAACAAACCCCAAACACTTTGCAGTCTTTACTCAGTAAAAAAAAAGAGAAAGCCCTACACTGAAATACATACTTAAGTAATGACTTAAGGATTGGATCAACACTGTCTAGTTACTCTTGAGCAATTTTGCGTTGAAATGCTGTTAATTGGAAGCAGGTATCACTTTAAAAGGTAAGAAGTCCACAGAATATATTGTCCTTAAGCAATAGATGAAGCAAGAAACAAAAAATCTGCAATGTGCTGTCAGAATAATGTTGTATAAGTTTAGAAGTAAGACAAACAGACTGTGATATCGATAAAAAGCTATGTAGATTTGTTTTATGTTAACGCTATGGATAGATAAAATCCAATTTCGCTTTAGGCAAATTTTCAGATTTGTAGCTTGACAGAGTATAAGAACACATCACTGCAGCTTTTATGTGAATAAGTCAACTTACTTCCTCCTCAGTGAGTCTGGAGCTATGCAAATTTATTTTATGTTTGGAGAGGCCCCTGGTTATATGAAAACAATGTTGTTGTTTCTTTTAGATTTTAATTTAATATTCTGAGCCTTGGAGGGAGAAATCATCATAGACTCATTTACCCTACAGTCAATGTGACAGTATGGGAGGATACATTTATTTGAACAGGCATCCAAAGGTGATAAGAACTGAAATAATCTTTGGAAAAATTCACCTGCATCTTAATTGAATATTTAAAATCTTTCTCAAGGTATAACTGAGAATAAATTATGTAATGATGTGGTAGAAATTATTTGATTTTATACTTCCTTCTGCTTAATATTACCACATATTCTTGGATAGGAGTAGGGCAAGTTTCTTGCTGTGAAAGTCATTTGAGATGCAACACAAAGCATTGTACATTAATGAATTTTATTATCTCCTGTGCCGATACTTTTATGAATGAATATATAAAGGTATTTATATATATTTTTAAAGCAGGTGCTGGTTGAGACCTTCATTTCATATTGGCATCCTCTCTTGTATATAAAATTTTTAATGCTTTATAATTTCATATGGATATTTTAAAAATCAAAGAGTTTTTATATGCAGTGAATAGATTTTATATGAGGGTATGTGATACAACACATTCCTTCTTCAAGGCAGAAATATTTAGATGTGTCTCCTGTCTTCTAGTTTTATGTTTCAGGTTTTGGTTTGAGGGATTTTTGCAATTTTTGACCTATGGATAAATCCCACTGGATAAATATCTATGCCATGAAAATCTGGTTATGCTTTGCTTAATATTTTAAAAAGTAAACAGAATTTCCTAAGTCTTGGATGCATGAATTACTGACATCTAAGCCCTCTGTAAGTAATCCAAATGTTGGAATATGCTAATACTGAAAAAGATGTAAAATTCATTTATTTTGAAAAATAGTGCTCATTCCATTTATCTGTTGACATGGTTATCTCATCAAACTTCAACCTCAGTAAGAACAAACAAGAGAGGTTGAGTTCCAAATTTCAGTGACACTTTGATACCTGCAATCAAATAATAAAATTATAAATGAAAATATGTTTCCATGTACACATAAAGCTGGGAAATGCATAATTTTTTCATAACTCCAAGTGTATTGAAGTCAAGGCTTAGCTTAGACAGTCTCTGTCATGGATGTTTATCAGGGTTACTGTTTGCTCTGCCTTCCATCCTGTCTTCACCTTACTTTTAACTATATTGTCTTCTTCTTCTTTGTCTGCCATAATTGAGCAAAATTGAGAAAATATGATTTCTGTTCACTGGAATACCTTATTCAATACAAGGAGCTCCCATAATAGAAGAACTCTTCTGCCACTGTACGCTAAAAGAGATTAATCCTATCTTGGGAGAATATTGCTGGTATTGCTCCTTGTGTGTCACTAGCCTGTAGTCATATGTACATAAAAAGGTGCTTTGTCTTAAAAGTGGGGGGGAAATCTAGGCTGTTTTCAAAGCCAGGACTCTGAGAAAGGTGAGTTCTTGTAGTGCTGATACTGACTAGTGAAGAAGGAAAATTCTGGTGGTCAAGAAAGTTCCTGAATTTACGATTCAGCTCCATGGAGTTGGCCTCAGGGGAAGAGACAAACTTGTTCTTCATCTTTTGCCTGACAGTTTAGTTGCCTTAGTCAAGCTAGGGCTAAGGTTGGCAAAACTCTGCTCTTAAACAATTATATTTTTAGATTTTCAGATTTTTAAGATTTGCTTTTTAAAACTTTCTTTTTATCTATAGATGATATGGTTTCCTTCAAATTCTTTAAATACTTGTTGACACACTTGTTATCTTTGCCAGTTACTTTGAAGATCTTTTGAAAAGATTGCTCTTTCAGTGATAATGAAGATAAAGGTACAGGGTGTTTAACCATTGGAAACTATCACTACTGAAGGTAAGCATGAAAAGAAAATCTCCCTCTTAAAAAGCAGATTTTTTTCCTTACGAATTCACCTGTCAAAGACCTCTTGCACATGCTGAATTTCTGTTTCCTGTGAGCTAGGTTTTTGCATTTACAGGAGACCAGGTTATTGAAACTGGGGGTTTGAGAGCTTTTTACCAGAAGTGAAAATACTGTGAGCAGGTCAGTTACAGATCTATTTCAACACCTCTTAGGCAAACTAATTTTTCTGTTCAGTTTATACCTTAATTTACATTTTGTGCAATGAATCACTGGGATAACCCTAACATTTGCATGCCATGACTTTTGAATGTTTAAAATAGAAGCCTTCATGTTGAATTGACAAATGGTTTGTATTAATATAAAATTAGATTTAGGAAAATCATTTAATCTATAAATGACATCTGGTATTTACAGCTTTAGAGTCTGATGAAGATAGATGCACTAACTTACATGTTTATAATATTTTGTAAATTTGCAAATGCACATTTAAATTGATTGTATCCCTCTCCAATCCTTCAAATGTCACTGGCCCTCTAAGGACCTAGTTCAAAGCTCACTTTCATTAATGGAAAGACTTACAATCTAAATGTATACCCTAAAATTAAACAGAGAATAGGAACATTCCCTAGCTCTGGAATACTACTCTTTCTACTGTTCAAGTATTAGGATGTTCCTCAGCCTGACTTGGGCCTGTGCCAGCTAGTTTTTGGACTCCTGATCTAAAATTTGGATTTTAGATCAGGAGTCAGCATGAGTGAGTGAAAGTCATGAACAGACACTTTGAGGGCAGCCACCTTGTTCTGGAGGATAAAAGAGTTAAGTTATATAGAGTGCGGGACTGTGTCAATTGGCCTTTGTGTCTCTTTCCAGGTGCTCACAATGTCTAAACAAGCAAATTTGGGTTGCTGGGTTTCCCTGTGTTCTCACAGCCTTGCACTGTAGGGACTGTAAGGCTGTGCTTGAAAAGAACGGGTCAGAGGCTCATTTTGATCAATAAGAAATTCTTCATCAGAATGTCCCTTCCAGTCCAAATTAGTGTAGAATTCCTAATTAAGAAAGTACACAATTCCACTACCTCATCCAAGAACAATAACTGGAGGGGGGAGAATAAAGCCCTGGCTTAAAAAAATCAACAGCTGGGGAACCAGTAGACTCCAGCCCACTGGAGTCATCTTCTGTGACTTACCATGGTGGTATTTGGGATCTCAGTGTGAGGCCAATGTGCTGTTGTACTCTAAGATCCAGGGTCAAATGGAATCGGACCTTTTAAATTTCAAGTGGTACTTTTGAATACCCAGAAGGTTGGGGTCCATATCCCTTTGGCTTGGAAAAACAATATATTTGAAGACAAATATTAAAAATCCCTAAAAACTCAGGACTTAACTCTACTTCTTTGTATTGTATTTCTTTTTTCTGATTCAACTAGCATCTTAAATGTTTTTGATTTTGACTTATGCAGAAACTTGTCTTCAATTTTAAAGAAATTTTTTTAGCAGGAAAGGTAAGGGTCATTTAGAAGTTTTCCCTATGCATGTGTATGTGATTGTATATAAAAACTTCAGTGAAGAAAATTATATATTCTGCAACAAAGTTACTTTTATTAATTCCTTCTAGTGTATCAGTATTTGTTTCTTCTCTTGATGTTAAATATGTCTGTTAGGAGAAGCCAGGGACCATTCATGAAGTTCTTTATCATTGGTTCATACAATTTACTTTAATGGCAGTATTTAATATCTACAAGTTTAGACAGAATTTGGGCCTTTAACATTGTTTTGTATGAATCTAGAATGCAATTATTTATCATCTTTTCCTTCCTATCCATATTTTGCTCAGGAACATACAAAGCCTTTACAGTCTTAGACCTATGTTGGTCTACAACAGACTGTACTTCTATTATACATATTTTCTAAAAAAGGTAGTGACAAATATGTAGACTGCAAGTTCTGAATAAGCTATAGTTATAGTTATGACTGAAAGCACGTACACCTGAGGCACTTTTTACTCAGATTGTTTCCCACCACTTCTTCTTGGTTCCATTTTCCTTATACAATATGGAGTCTAACACAGCAATAAGAATTTTGTTTGGCTATATTATGGCAAAAAAGTGTTGCATGTTTAACGGAACCTTGCCAGAGTGAGAAATAGTCTCAATGCATCAGAGTCAATAGAGTCCCTGAGACATCCTTGCTAGAATGGGAAAGGATGCATTGTTCCTTCCGTTGTGCTCATGATTCCTGTGACCAGTATGCTTCCATAAATATTCCTCAAGGATTGTCTTCAATATTCCAAAGTGAGAGTACCCAGGAGAATGAGTTCCTTGCTAATCTGCAAAGCCAGAAAGAAGGTGCAATAGGAAAAGGTAGCATGTGGTTTATCTTGCCAATAATGTGCAGTTCAATATTCTTGCCAATAATGTGCTCTGTACAGTTGTCCAGTGTTTTTGTGAGGTTTTTGGACAGTTTTGGCCTCTGAAATCATGACGTCTCCAGACACTTTGTCTTCTCAGCTCCTCTGCCAAGACAAAATAAATCAAAGAATATTGATGCTAAGACTGGGAATATTCATGGTACTGCTTCATGTTGGTCAATCTATTTTCCCAGTAGTCTCAAGTCTACCTCTATTATCCCTCTTGAGGAAACCAAGGGAAAATAAGTTTTCTAACTTGTGCAAAATCTAGGTTTTAACAACCATAGTAAAAGAAGGACAAGTTTTGCCCATGCAAGTGAATAATCTCTGTAAGACATATAGGAAATGCTACAGGCATTACATTTTCCCTTTTCTTCATTTTGGTGTATTTGTGTCTTCATTCAATGGTTCTATTTTGTTTCTCATCTCACTTTTCTCCATATTTTATTTAATTTTTTTTTCTCTTTTTCTTATCTTGTCCTATTAGGAATCTGCAGACCATCCTGGCTCTCTTGGCTCTGTTATTCATGCACAGAGCTTTCAAACTGGTTGAAAATGGACTAAAAATATCATCTGGTCCTGGCTAAAATGTGACTGTTAATTCCATATGCATTAAATGGGTACTGTTTACATCTGTTTTTACCTGGTCATTGCATGACATGACCTTTTGGTTCTGGTTTCCTGCTACCTCTGACCTTGCCTTTACAAAACCTGCTTCACAACATCTGATTTGAGCAAAAATTAAGTTCCTTGTGTAGCAGACTACCAGTTTCATGCAGCATAGATGACAATGCTCTTGTCTCATTTAAATAATCCCTCTCAATAAGATGTTCTCTGTGAAAGCAAGGGGAAAATAAAGTTTTGTCTATAAATGATTGGCCAAAGACTGTTTTCTGTATGATATATAGAAGCTGTAAGGAAATGCATTCTATTGGGAGTACTTTTGTCAAGATAAATAGATCTTAAGTTCTCTATACTATTTTCAAAAAAAATTCTGTAGCAACCCATAGATACAAAATGTTTCCCTATCACTATTGATAAAAGGAGTCTTAAAAGGGAAAAGAAAAGAGTTCTCAACAAACTGAAAAGAGACGTGAAATCATTATTGTAAATATCACTAACAATCAATTAATGATATCTGGAATAAATGTGTATAAAGAAAGCAATATAGAAATGAAATAAAATACAGCTAATACACCCAAAATTGTAAAATTGTTTTAAGAAGAGCCTTTCTCATTACAGCTGAATGTGATTTTCCAGATAAAGGCATTGTAATATGACCCTGTGTGCTGTTCTGTGTGTACAATAAAGCAAGCAAAATTAATCCCTTCCCCTGATGACCTCTAGAAATGAAAACCCATTATAGTAATAATATTTGTACTTAGGCCTTGATGTTTTTGTGCTGAATCTGAATGCCATGAAATGATTGTATACAGTGGCTGATGAGGACACATGTACAGATAAATACATAAATAATCCTCTTTATATAGGTGCAAGGTGACTTTTTAGATCTGGTATGGAAACTAGTTGAAGCCTAATAAAACTGGTAATCATTTTCTTTACTGCTTAGGCCTGAATCTTATTATGTTGAAAGGTCTATTAGGAATTTTTCCCTTTTTAACATGGAATGTATGTAACTGGATATTGTGCACAATTTTCCTGTTTGTAAAACTTGAATTAAGCATTGAAATTTCTGCCTAAGTTACTGGTTTTGGCATTTGCCAAAGTATATAGGATATCAAATACTACAATACATCTTTGTTACCAGTCTGTGGTTCGGTTAGCAAACCCCACTTAAAGGGTAAAAGATCTTTCAAAAAACAACATTATTTAGCTTGGAACAGGAATCAATACTCCATATGATATGGTAATGAAACACAGACTTTGCAACATATTGACGGACAGTGAGAAAGTGTGTGTGGTGAGGGGAGTGGGTGTATTTGTGTGCATGTTGGAGGGACCACAATAGTATTAATAGCCTGTAAAGGAGGTTTCTGACATTTGGTAAACACATGAGCACGACACAGAGCACAATAGGAACTACAGTTCAGAAACAATGATACGTACATTACTCTGGAACGCCATTAAGTACGTGTAAGCTTTCTTCTGTCAGCATTTGTATTTTCACAGGATGTAGTAGCAAAGCATTGGCTTTGTGGAAAAGGAGGTCTAAAAAGACGTCCACATATTGTTTTACTATTCTGCTTTACTTTTAATGTTTATGTATCTTTCTGATGTGGGCTGTACATTCAAGGCAGTTCAGTTTTGCACAGTCTGGCTTTCTATTTGTCTAAGTGGTAATAAATTCCCATTGATCAGGGCTTAGTGGAAATTAGAACACCCTCCATGTGCCTCAGTCAGGGAGGCTGCTCCCAGCAGACTCTCACTCACATTAAAAGCCCACCGGAATATTTCAGGATGGTTGGTGTTGCTGGATATTACTTCACAATGTCAATACCAGAAGGCCTATTGATTTGGATAGCTTTCTTTAAATAAAAGAAATTCTTTAGTATTTGAAAATAGTAAAATTTGTCACCAGAGCAAAAATAACACTACTTTCTTAGGCTGTCCATCAGCTTGGGAAAGCCTTGAATTATTGTACACTGTATTTCTTTTTTTTTCAAAACCATATGTGTTGTGATTTCAGTATATTAATTGTAAAGATTTATAATTGTAGACTTAGTCTGAAAAAAAGCTTGAATTTATTAATTGTGTTTTATTTCAGATTAAGATTGGGATTTCTTTTAAGCAGTGTGTATATGTGTTTAAAGAATGTGATCTGAGAAAGATACAGATACATGCAAGACTTATCAGTCTTTCAGACCTGTACTACTCAATGTTGGTCAAGCAGCAGTGGCAGAGAAGATATGGAGAGGTCTCTTTCTAATGCTGACTTCCATATGAGTGTAAGCAGGCTGCTAAAAAGTGAGAGAGAGAGGAGATAGTAAAGCAAAAAAGATATTAATTGGAAGGCAATATATGCCATGCTAATATCTGCACACATGAAATTCTTCATAATTATTAAATACCTAAGTCAGTTGCTTAAATCCGTATTATAAAGAACTTGAAGTCAAGATTCATCTGTATGGCATAAAGATTGCCAATGAAGAGTGTGATTTGGCTTCAGAGGTGGTTTCTTTTTCCGAAAGAGGTTAGGAAGGCTGCAACTCAGATATGTTGTGTGCCATATGTCATGATGAATATGTCATCTCTACATCAGAAGTTTATAATCTAATAGTATTTTCAGTATTTTTACTCAGATTGTTTCCCACCCCTTCTTCTTGGTTCCATTTTCCTTTGCCTAATCCTTCAGGATCCTTCCTGGTATTTGCTCATCCCTGCATATATGACTTAATGTCAGTAGTTGATGAAGGCTATTGAAGGGATAAAGCTCCTTGGGATGGGTGAAAGTATGTGGCTGCTTTTGCCTGGGCATTCCTCTTCAGCATCTCTCTTAAGCTCAACTACTGTTTTCAAATCCTAGTACTACTCTATGTATATAATGCAACTTTCTCTTCTAGCTCAAAATGTGGGTTTTTTTCAAAAACAGCATCAGTCAAGCACAGCCAGTTAAATGAACACTTGTATTCAAATAACTTACTGATTATGCAAAACAACTCTGCCTGTTACGATACACATTCAGTGCAGAAAATTGCTGTGTTATTTGGACTGCTTTTCCCGTCACAATGAAACATACATCTGCTTACAGCTAAAAGTCCAAGGGCCTGATTTAGTAAAAATTAGTGATCCATCAGATTGATGGGCAATCTGCAGTCTTGGTGCCTTGAAATTTCTTGCATCAGTCACCAGATCATGATTTACTAATAGGGTTTCAGGGCTTGCAAAATAGCACAACTCTAACCACATATTAATATTTAATCTGGCATCTTAAGTGCACCTAACAAAAGACCCCAGAGCTGCTGACAGGACCCTACATTGTGAATTTCTTTAAAAGGAATTGAGCATTTCCATAGTGGTTTCATGTGGAAATCTGAAACAAGGAGAAATACATGACTTAAGCCCTGCTCATGAACTTACAAGCTTCTGAATATCTTTTCTTGGAAAACTGTTTATAGTCTGCAGGTTTTTTTGCAATCTAGCTTCATTAACATATGACAGAACTTCCTTTGGCCATTTCACTGTCCATAGCTCGCTATTGCAGAGAAATTTCAAAACTCATTTCTATACCATGTGCAATTAAACAGTCTGATCTATTATTGCTTAATCCACTTGGCAACTCTAGAAAGGTACTAAATGAGGTTAAAAATGTATAAGTCACAAAGACCTCTTTATAGCCATGAAATTTAGTAATTGAATCTGCACAAACTTAGTAAATTGGGCCCTCAGTGTTTTGTATAGCATTTTAAAGTAGCCAAAATAGGCAAGAAGCTGAATTACATATTGACAATGTTTCTACCATTTCTTCCATTTCATACTTTAAATAGAGCAATAGAGTGATTTAATAAGCAACTTCTGCTGCTGCTGTCAGATGAATATTCTAATTTTACAAAATGTATATAGTGCGTGTCTAGAAAAACGTTTATTGTTTTCTTCCATTTTCATATGCCATAATTTATGAAAGATGTTCCCAACACCACCTGTAATAACAGAATGTTTATTAGTGTGCAAATGAGGGTTATAAATGATGCTGCTTATCTATGGAACAAAACACAAAAGACAACTTATTAGCAAAAGACAAATTGCTCAGCAAATTTCAATGAGCTGCTATGTTTGTCATGAAAAAAACCTTTTATTTGCACAGATCAATGTTTTTATAATCCATTTAAAATAATATACTTGCCACTAGGTGGCTATTTCTGATCAGATCATTTTACCATTTTAATTACATTTTTAATATCCTGGCTGCATAAACAAAGATAAATTACAAGCCTTGCACAATCTGGCTGCTAGCTCAGGCACAATCTGTAATAATATCAGCTTTTGTTTGTGCCTCCTCTAATTAGATTCTGAAATCTAGGCTTTATCAATCAATAATTTTAATTTCAGAATTGCCTTTTGATCTTACATTTCGTGTTTGTTTGCAGAAAATGATCAGTAGGACAAAGCTGATAATTTATGCAGAAACAATCTCTCAGCAGTGTTACAAGCGCATTCCTAGCCATCAACACAACCCGGCAGACTAAGCTTGACACAGGTCTAATTAGCATGCAGATATGTGTCGCCTCATTGGCAATTCAAATTGCTTTTTTATAATGTACCTCAAATTGTGCTACTCAAACATTGTATTTGATTTCCAAAGCCCCCTGGGCATCCCATAATGTCTCCCTTCATCCTGGGTACGAAGCATTTATTGAACAATCTGCTTCGACTCTGGCTATCTTTTCGAAAGCACCCAAACATCATAACCATGGAACCAGGTTTTCCTCCTCATCCGACAGCAACTTGTTCTTCTGCAGGGTGGCGGGTGCCACGTCCGTAGGTTCGGTGATGATATGTTACCTTGTGAGCTCCTGCTCCCACGGTGGCTGCTCTATAGAGGGCTTCATTCCTGTGCCACTCATCTAAAAAGGGGGAGGATGTCTACAGAGCACACATTAATATGCGGCACATAACCACGTCTCTGAATGCCAGCCTTCCATTCTTCATTAAACAAAATGGCTGGATTGCAGTGATTGTTTTCCCCTCCACGCGCGCGCGCGCGCAGGCACACACACCACGCACGCAGGCACATACCCACACACCCCCCACACACGCTCTGGCTCTCTCCTTTTGTCCCTCATGCACACGCATTCACACACTCACACACACACTCACACACACACACAGACTCACACACACACACACATAGCGTGTCACTGTTGGTGCAGCGAGTTACGTGTGAAAAGTTATCTGCGGCATGCGTGACACGCAAGGAGATTCCTGCCAACGTCAGGGCCCTTTTTTGCCATGCAGCAACAAGTGGCAGAATCAATGGTTGTACAGTTATTCAGCAATGTAATTCATTTCACTGGCTTTGGCTCCCAGCCAGATCCGCCATCTGTCTCTTGCTCTCCCTCTCTCTCTCTCGCCTGAATTTGTCCTACATTTCGTAATGTTACGTGCTTGCCATCCTTATTCTATGTCAGAGGTACAGCACGAGCCTCACCCCCGTTCCGATGTGGAGTTCTGTGAGTTCGGTGGCACTTTGGATATTCCACTCCAGTGCCATAGGAAGAAAAGGGTAAGGAAAGAACAGAGGGGTAGCTGCAAAGAGAATGGTGCTCTTCTATCTGAAAGCCAGTGCCTCCGCTTTTTATTTAAAGCATTGATATGGATCTGTCTCACATGGGAACTTTTCCTGCTTCGTTAGAGTATCTTCGTTTTCTTTATTGGATGCTGGCACTGTACGCCACTGCACAGCTCCGTGGAATGCCTGCTGTTGGATACTTGCAGATCCCTGCCACCAAGCAACCTCCTGCATTGGAAATCGGGTGACTACTCCAGGATCTTATGTGTGCTTGCTGTTTGAAGCTGCAGAAAAGTGAATAATCAATTAAGTATTGATTTCTTGTAAGATTTGGTAAATTTCAAAGGCAAGACAAAGAGGATGGCTTAAGGAAAGCACTGCAGGGACTTGGCGTAAATTAGACAACTAACAGCAGTGCAGAATAAAATAACACCTCAACTGAATATTTCCTTGGAAGAATTAGCACTAGCTATTGGAAGACGATGGTGGATTTAATCAAGACGGCAGGCACGCTTGAGTTTTAACCGTGAACCTGAAAGAGGAGCTAATTATAACCACCTTTTTATATGGAGCTAATTTGACTGAATGGATGCAAATGTGCTTTATTTATGGATGAAGAAGCAAGCCTTACAGCATTGACTTTGGGATCATCGCATATGCTAAGCTTTACAGCTTCTCTAAAAGTCAAGCCTACAGTACATTTTTATTTACTGAGAAGGTATTTATACGTAAGCATAAGCTAGCCGTACAAAAGATTCATCAGAACAATGTACTGTGTGGCACCGAGGATCTAATTATAATTTTGCAGCATTTCATGTTTTCTCTAATTTGGTACTTTTCAACCCTCGCTTGTGATGGGCTATAAATGGGACAATAAATGTATGATTTAAACTGTTGTGATTTTCACTGTATAGTTTATTAATCGTACTGTAGTTTTCTTAACGTGTTTTTGAATTATTCAGCAGTAATTTATAATGAAAGAAGCAGAAATGGTGGGGTGGTTTTAAATTCATTTATAATCTTCTCACAGATCTAAATGTACAGGTTCTACCAGCTGATGAGCTCTATAATTATGAAAGAATGTTAAAATTTTCAGATAAATGGGGCACTGACTTTACAATGGGCACAATATTGTATAATCAGTAAAAGGAAGATTGTTATGTTTTGACTCTGTGGAGAATGGTCTTGGTTAGTTAACTCCTTCTATGCTGATAATGATAAGCAAATGTACTTTATATAAGAAAATAGGGGGGAATGTAATGCATTGGTTTGATGTTTTGCTAGTCTGAAACCTTAGCAGATTTTTTTTCCATTTATTTCCATTTCTGTTACTTTTCTTTTCCCTATTTGCTTCTCTGGGTTTTGTCGAGGCTTTTTTTTCCTCCTGTCTTGCAATCTACATTCCCTGAGCAACCACAGGAACCAAGTTACATTAAGCTTCAACACAAAGACGATGTAAGAATAATGAATCCTCATTTGCATCGACATTTGTATTCAGATTTGCCAGGCTATAAACTTGGCAGATCAAGCGGAATATTAAGTAGAGGCTTCCATGGTAAATTGCGACTCTTGCAATTGCTGAGTCGTTTTTCCTATTTTTTGCATGTGTGTGTGTGTACATGTGTGCGTATGTGTGTGTTTGTGTGTGTGTGTGCATGTGTGTACATGTGTGTGCATGTGCATATCTGTAGTGCCAGGTGAAGTCTCATGACTACTTGGTTTCTGAGAAGCACATTGGCCCTCTTTCTCTTTCAGTATATGATGTCAGTTTATGCAAAATGAAGCAGGAATACTCAAGCAGTAAGCATTTTAGCTGAAGATACAGCGTGACATATGAATTAAGTATTCACTTGCTTTTCTAGAGACTGTGTGGAAGAATTCCTTAAACAAATAGAATTCCTTAAACAAACACTATCCTTAAATTCCTTAAACAAACACTATTGCAAAATCACATAGATCTTTTGCATCAGCTGGAGGTTTGATTTCTCTGCATGTAGAGCCCAAAGCAAAAACTCTGAGGTAGTGTTGAACATACCTGCTGCATTATGCTGTTTTATTTGTGGTGGTGCTGCATGTGTGCATGTATGTTTCCATGAAAAACTTTGGCCTTGGTGCACCTACCATCAGCTGCTCTTCACTTTGGTTTGGTTGGGCTGTCTCCAGCTTTACAGCATGTACAAGAGCTAAGTTGGCCCCTCTCTTCCAGAGTTGGATATCAAACCTTTTCCTTCACTGATACTTGCTGAAGAAAAGGTGGTCCTACATAATCCATTTCCTCAAGAAAGAGGAAACCTCTGGATGAATCTCTTTCAGAATTAATAACTGCAAAAATGGAGCATTTACCTTATAATTCTCCTGTTTAACTTTGTGTTGTTGAAAGTAATTTATTTCAGAAGCAGTGAAAAAATGCTCAGTCAACAAGTGTTAAAGATGCTTCAAGACTCAATTTTGCAATCCATAGATTTTCAAGTATTTCAACAAAGTCCTCTGGAGAGATTTTATGAGTGTCACTGAATTAGGCAATGCAGGAAAAGATCAGGCATGCAGAAAATACTTCCAGTCTCTTCTTTTTGTATGCATCCACTTCCTACCACTTCTATAACCACAGACCTAGCAAGAATGTCACTACAGTCCACAGTGTGGGTTTTCACAGTTTATAGTTGCCTTCCATGTTAAAAAAGTACAGTTATAGAAAAAAATCCTGGAAGTTCCAGTCCTTTCTAAACCAGTTAAAGGACTTATTTTAAAAACTTTATCAGTTGATGGTCATTTAGGTAATCCATTGAAAAGCAAGTGCAATGCAATGACTGAACCTGTTTCAAACAATATTATACTGTATAAGTATTGGCTACAATTTCGGCTGAGAAAGCTCTATCAGCTTTGTTTTCTATAAAAATACACAAAACCCTAATACTGTTTGGATTTACTTTAATTTTGTTTTTACACTGTAATGGGATAATTGATCATGCAGGAAATGGTCTGTTGTAATGCAGGGCTCACTGAAGGAGGAAGATGATGCTCTTTTCACATAGAATAGCAACTTGTGGCAAGCAAAGGCAACCATGCATCATTACTTGTTTGCTATTTTTAAAAAGCTTCATAACTATATTCTTTTATTATGAGTGAAAACATGGAATATGATGTTTCCTTCCTTTGAAAGACTATTCTGAGCTACATTTCCAAAATGGTGCTTAAGGTAGAAGGGAAAGGTAAAACTTGCAAGGTATGTTTCATACTTTGCTTCCTCATGCATATCATCTTGATGAAATTATATTAAACTTTGTTGTTTGGGTTCATATATGTACTTCCCACTAAATGTTTTGAAAATTTGCCCTAAAACAGCTAAAAAAGTGTCTTTTTCTGAGAAAGGAAAAACAATATCTCAGTAGCTTTCATAAAAAATAAAATAAAATTTTAAACATTTGAAAATATATTTAAGTTCCAAATTTATAAGGAATAACAGATTAAAAGACTGCAATGTTTTTTTAGAGAGGTATTTACAATAGTCATTTACTAAGTGAATCCTTTGAAAAATTAATGCGTTTGGGGGTTTCTTTGTCCCCATTAAAAATGTCCCAATTTCTTGCTCCTTGACTGTAGAACCCAAAGAAAGGAGAGAAGAATGAACAGTACTTTAGACTCAGAAAAATTTATCATATTCACTGACAAAAAGATAAAAACACCTGGAGAAAAAAAAAAAAGGAAGGTGTGAGCCTAATATTTCCTGGGAGAAACTCCAATCTGTTGTCTGGCCTTTTATGTGTACAGTGTTGTTGAGTAAAATACTAGAGTGCTACATATTTAAAAAATGTAGTGTGTGATGTATATTCGCCCCCACTGGACAGAGTGATGGCAGGCAGTCAGTGCAGGCATAGCATGTGGATGGAAAGCTCAAGGCCTGTTACAGTATTTCAGTCTAGCTCATTGTACTGCTAAAGAATTTCAGATTTCAACAATACAGAGATCACTAAATATAGCAAGGGTCAGATCTGCTGGCCTGTAGCATTTAAAGGGAAGCTATAATTTTTTACCATTAGTGTCTGATCAAAGATCCTTTTGTGCAACCTACTGTTGAGAGGAATATCACTCAAGTGTTGTATTTCTTACTGGCAGATTGGTTGTCTGTTTCTCTCATTGGTGTGGACTTATCTTGGGACTGAACTGTAAGTTTTCTGCATCTGCAGGAATGTAGTTTCTTAAATAGCATTTTTCAGATTACTCTGTGCATGAAACAGCATTTTGAACTTGAAGAATTTAACTTCTTCTTATAGCCAGTTTCTCTTATATAGCCAGTAAAACATTTCCACTTCAAGTTTCTGGTTT